GCCATCTCCACGTGGACGCGGCTATATTTGGAATATAATGAACAGTCTGCAAACCAAAGCGTCTCCTTTTCGTGATTTACAGATGTGTTTTTTTCTGCTGAAAATAGCTCATTAAATCCAGTAATTGTGTTGAGAAAGAATGCCGGAACGGGAAAAACAAAGAAAGACAGCACTTAAATCATTAACACAAACTCTGCACGGAACAGGTGGATTTACTGTTGCGGTAATGTGTGAAACAAAGCACACGCACTGGGGGGTAAGGATGGTTTATGACAGGGGATACAATCAGAAAATAAGTCTTCTTTTATTTTGCAAAGCAGCTGCAGCCTATGTCTTCTCTGTGCGGGGTTGTAATGTAGCTGGCAATGTCCATTACAGGCCCTCGCTGCTGCACAAAGAGTAATAATAACGCATCATTTACAGATGTTGTCAATCCACTGCTGGCGTGCCAAATCCTCCCCCTTCCGTGTCAGTTGTGGGGGTTTATTGACTGTATTACGCTACACTGGGCAGTACTAGTTGGTCAAGGGTTGGATGATGTCAGTGTTCGCTCAGAAAACCCTCATCACTGGTGTTTCCCACGGCAGAATCGAACTTAGGTTGCCGGCTTCATAGTGCAGCGTGCTAACCACAAGCCACTTTTCCACCCCCGCAGAGAAAATTCCAGAAGGGGGTCAGTGCTCTTCGCTATGAGAAATATCCCCCGTCCAGCCTTAACGTGACTTTACCGAATAGAACCAAAGAGTATGGATCCTTGCAGTCACGAAAGCTTAAAATCTAGAATTGATGGGGAAAGTGCTGTTAGCCAGCACCTATGAAGGCCGGCACGGCATACGAGGGGGTAGGTGGCCAGAACCGCGTCCCAGTGGCGATGTTCACACCGACGTAGGACCGATTCAGATACAGTAATCATCACTGGTGTTGGTCCTGAGCGGGAATTGAACTTGGGTCGCTGGGGTTCGAAGCGCAGCGCGCTAACAGCTACAATACCAGCTACACTACCGCTCCCCACTGCTCTATGAACCCAGTCACTGGCTAACATCAGTGGCGAGAACCGGCCATGGGCACCAACTCACCTTAAATTTGCCCTGACCACCGTGATGAAGTATGGTCAACTCACCTAGCCGCTGTGGATTGACATGACGTTACAGTATTCATTGTGTTCCAAATAATCCGGTGAACATCGTGTAATATGTATATATATCACGGCATTGAACTTTAGATAGTTAAAATGCTAAACGTTTGATTGATAGACTTTATTTTATAAGGTGAGAACCCATTGAGACTTGAAGTCTATTTTTCACGGGTGGTCTGGGGATATTCTACATTATTTCGTCACAATTATACAGAAATGGCAATCACGTGAAAAATATACAAGTATTTATACTAAAAACACACACTTGTACGCATTCCATAATTGAGCATAACATGGATATTCTTCGAGGAGATGGAGCCATGAAATTAATTTACGTGCAATAGCTAGGTGGATTATAATATCGCAGGATCGTAAGTGGCAGTGACTTGGGGAGGCCTTCATCCAGCAGTGGATTGACCATGGCAGCTGCTGCATTGGACATGCAATACAATACAGTACCGTGTATTATAATGGAGCATAGTATATGCGAATTGAAAATAGCGCTCTAATTGACTGTGCTTAAATACTTAATTAGTTTCTTTTACAAGCTGAGAAGCAATTTAAGACGCTGAGTCTCCGTCATTGGCGATCTGGGTAAATTATATTTTTCCCCTTGATATTCAATTATTAGGAATAATAAGCACACGACATATTACACACGTATTAAAATTAAATAAAACAGTTTTAATCATCTCGTAATTGGGCATGCAATAATTACAATACTATTGCTAATCGACACTTGAAGTGAAGCGGTCGAGTGGTCTCTGCTTAATGCGCGTGCACGCATGCACTTTATACCAATCCAATAATTGTGGCCACTTTGCCTGCACGCATTACTTGTAATACCTGCCTATGGATGTGCAGCACTGTAATAATTTACGATCATTAATCATGCGTCCAAGCCAAGAGGGTCTTGTGCCAGCATGTATTTGAGTCTGTCAATGCGTGTGTTTGTCTGTGGTCTCTTTGTATTTGTGTTGTGTGTGTTTCGATGTATAAATGCCTCTGTATGTGCGTATGTGTCTTTGGTCTGTGTGCGTGCCTTTGTGTCTCTAGTGACAATTAGCACCCCCTAGGTAGAGTCAGCCTGAAATGATTACCTGATGCGATGTGTAAACAATGGCACTATGGAGACACAGGCGGCTGGGCCTTGTGCTGGCCACAGAACCTCCTTGTGTGCTGTTCCTGTCTTCATAGGTGCTCGCTAACAGCCCCGACAGTCTGTTAAGGTGCTTGTATTCTCTTCCTCTGCATGTGTACGCATGTTGATATCGTCGTGGTGTCTTTTTGTGAGCGGTGGCGCAGTGGTTAGCGCACTGCGCTACGAGCCCGTCCGCCTGCGTTCGATTTCCGACCGCGGCCAACATAAGTGCCGAATATCTGAACCGGTCATGTACCTCCTCTTGGTCCACTCGGCCTTAAACGAGTTTTTGGTATGGTGAATACATATGTGATGTATACACATCAAAGGTTGAACGGCATATATATTTTCTCTTTATATGCGCGTGCGTCTGTTAATGTGTGGGCCTGTAATCTCTACGTGTGTGTGTGCTTATTCATGTGTTTGTCCGTGTTTCTCTTTAATCTGGGTGTGTGTACATTTAATGTATGTACTGTACATTAATGTACGTCTTTGTGTGTGTGTGCGGGGGTCTGTGTACTTGTGGGGAGCGGTTAGAGCGCTCACTCAAATGAGTACCTGGTGCGGTGTGTAAACATCGCCACTGGGGAGACAAAGGCGGCCGGGCGTGGTGCTGGCCACCGACCCCCTCGTGTGCCGTTGGTGGCTTTCGTAGGTGCTTGTTAAAAGCGCTTGTCCCAACAGTCGGTGAAGGCTACACGGGGGATCTTTGTCTTTGCGTACTTGTGTAATCACCCACGAATCCACATCTTTGAGTGTTTCCCACCAATACTCGGCAGGAAGCAATCAAACTCCAGATCAGAGAGAGAGATGTCGAGCTGTCCGTCTCTCCTCTCTCTCTGTTCCAACTCTCATTCCCAGTGTCCGCGGGATTATTCCATCGTTGGCGGCGGTGAATGGTTGGCTGAGCGTGGCGAGGTGTCGGGAGGAGGTTGGCCGAGGAACCAAATTCGTCGTCTCCCATCGTGGTGGTTGGTGGCGGTGGTCGCACTTCGTATCTGAACCCGCGCCATCGTCTCTCACCTCTTGCGACTAAATCCGCGCAGACAAGGCTTGTTCACCAGACTGTTGGGGAGAGTGGTGTCAGCACCAATGATTTGAAATCCTTTGCCAGCCACCATGCCACAGAGACAAAGATCTCCCGTGTAGCCTTGAACAGACTCATCTTCTTTCGTTTAATTTTATTATTTTATTCTCATTCTACGTGACTTTACCGAAAGAACCAAAGAAGATGAATCCTTGCAGTCACGAAAGCTTTAAACCTTGAACAGACTGTTGGGGCAAGTGCTGTTAGCGAGCACCTATGACGGCGCGATACACGAGGGGGTGGGTGGCCAGCAACACGCCTGACCGCCTTTGTCTCCCGAGTGGCGATAATTACACACCGCACCAGGTACTCATTTGCTGGCTGAGTCGACCTAGGTGATGCCCAGAACCGGTTCAGATATTCGTCGCTGGCGCGTTGGCCGTGAACGGGAATCGAACGCAGCTCAGCGGCGCTAATCACTACGCTGCCGCTCCCCATACCTATGCCACACACACACACACACGCGGACGCATCCGTCACTCCGTCGTTTCTACGACGCCCCACCTCGTGGTGCCGAGTGAGTCACTTGGGATTAACTCGGCCGCTTCGCAGCGCACGCCGCGTTCCATTCCGGGGTGGGGGGGGCGCGCTGGTTCCACGGGCCAACCAACAAGAGGCGTCAGGAGCGTCCTCCACCACCTCCTCCTACCACTCCTGTCGCCACACGCGCGCACGCTCACGCGCGCCTCTCTCTCTCTGCTCTTCTTGCGCTCGCGGCTCATCCGGCCCTCCGCTGCGTTGGTGATTCAATTTGCTCATCTCTCGCTCGCGTCTCTGTCTCGTCCCCAAAACCGCGCGACACCGCAACGCGCGGCGCGCATGCGGAAAGCTGCACGATCCCAACTCGTAAAGCCTCTCACCACCACCACCTAACCACCGTCACAGCCACCCCCACCCCCCTATATTACCCCTTCATGACATAGTTCACCGAGGGAGAAGTCGTTACGAGAAGACAGCTTGGCTTGCTTGGCTGTGATGAGGCTTGCGATGAGAAGTGCATCCTGATTTGTCGTGGGATGGCTGAGCATCGGCGCTCCGGGACACCGCTCGGTGCCGGCAACATCATCAGCAGCAGCAGCAGCTAGCGGCCACACCACGGACTGTCATCCCTGGAGCCCCTGGTTGCCCCCGTACCTGTTGGATTCGCAGTGGATTTGGATATCCCGCACCGGAGGTAAGTGCTTTGTGTTGCTTACTTGGTGGTTTGTGTTGTTTCCCTAGTGGTTTGGGTTGCTGCTTGATGGTTTATGTTGTTGTTCCATGGTGGTTTGCGTTGTTCCTGAGTGCTTTGTGTTGTGCCTTAGTGTTTTATGTTGCTGCTTGGTGGTCTGTGTTGTTCCCGAGCGGTCTGTGTGTCCGCCCGAGTGATATGCGTTTCTGGTTGGTGATTCGCGTTCCTGCCTGGTGTGTACTCCCCTTGCATCGCTAAAGCGCGGGCCGCTTGCCTTACGAACCCGGCTGGAAGAAGAAAAAAAACAACAACCCGAGTTCGATTTCCGACCACAACTCGCATAAAGTGGCGACGGGTACCACACTGAACAAGTCCTTGGTTGACCATCCGCCTCGAATTGAGTTATGCACGTCCCTGGCGGTGCGGCATTTAAAAAAAGGCCATCAGCACCCGGTAAGACGAGCGGGCCAAGCGTGCTCCTTGGCCACACACCACCACCCCCAACACCTCCATCGTGCGCAGCATTTGGTCCTCAAATTGACGCGACAAATGTGCGCGCTCCGTGGTCGGGGATTATTGAGGGGCGGGAAGCGTCTTTGTCGCTGCCGATGTTGGGCACAGCCTCGTGCGTGCCCGCTGTTTTCACCTGGGCGCCAGCGATTCACCTCGTTAGGAGGTCGTCACCAGAGGTGCCCCCCCCCCCCCCCCACATGAGCCCCCCATCTCACTCCCTGAACTGATGGATGATGTTACCCTGTTCGCGAGACGAAACTGACCGCTGTATGGGAGATAACCTCACGTGCCCGTTAGGCCGTGCGTGTAGGCGTGCCTTTTAAATGTCAAAAACGCGAGAGGTCATTATTCATTGTGATGGGGTGGGGGGTGTTTGTTGTCTATTATGCACGAGCCTTTGGCTATCGAACTCTCCGGTAGCTCGGCACGATGTCCGACGTTTCGCTGTTGAAAAAGCTCCCAGCACGTGGAGCAAGACGGCGAACATCGTGCCGAACTACACTGGCTACATCCCAAAGCCATATCGGGGGGGGGGGGAGGGCGGGTGTGATCAAGGATAACAAAGCACGAACACCTCAGCAAAGTGGTTTGCTTTGTCTTGTTGGCTTTTTACTTGACGCGTTGTGATGTATGCGCCCGTAGTTCCTGCTGTTTGTATAGGTAGGTGGCATGTTTGCAACAGTTAAGTGGAACAGGTATGCGCACTGAGCGGTGGGTACACGTACGTGTTTCACGCTCTCGCCGAGAGTTTAAGACGCATGGATAATTAAGCGGTGAAATCTTTGACATTTCACATTTTAAGAGATTAATAATTGAAGCGTTTGCCTAGTATCAAGGTTATGATCTGTAAGTTACGCCTATGGGCTTTTTCGCACTCGAATTTGTTAATTTAATCCATTAATCAGCGCCACGACAGCTGGGCCGCTATTTAATTAGCAGATAACTTGAAGTAGACGAATTCTCGCCCGGCGTAAGGGAATGCATTCGATTACACGTGGTCAAACATTAAACAGGTGTGCTTCGCGTTGCGCTGCAATCGTCAGGACGGTGTTTGTTTATTGAATGTATTGATATAAATTTCAACTCCTAATGTAATGTGCGAGGGAGCGGTGGCGCAGTGGTTTGGCGCATTGCGCTACTGAACCCCGGTGGGCCAAGTTCAATTTCCGGCCACGCATAACGTCAGCGGCGAGTGTTGTCTAAACCTATCCTGCCTCCCCCCATCCCCTTCACGAACTTGCACCGACCAGCCAGTTGAAGCATGGTCAAACAACCTCCACAAGTGACTCTGCGTGCTGATGCCATCATCCAGCAGTCGATTGAAACAAGGGACTGAACAACGGAAAACGGTATAATAAACATTGCGGGAAGGATCGCATTTCACCGTTTTTTTTGTTACGATTGACACGTTACAGCGTATTTATCGGAACGAAATAATGTTCGCAATCGACTCGCGAAGGCAACTTTTGAATTTTGGAACCCGTTGCCGTGAAAGGGGACACGTTGACGATGCACGCGGCACGTGGGATCTCGTCTGAGTAGACGAATGCGCGCAGGAACACCATGAGCACGTCGAGCGGTTGCAACGATGCTTAATCTAGCATACAAGGGCTGTCGATGTGAGATTGCGGGCTTCGGGGTAAAGGTCTCAATCGTAAACGTTGCTCAACAGAGCACAGAGGCGCGCAGCAGGCAAACAGCACCTCGAAGCGCAGTGCCGCCTCGCCATACAAACCCGGCACGCTACCACCACCGTATTATCTACGCTGCACCATGCGCAGCAGCAGCGGTGTCTGTATCTCGCGTATAAAGACAAAGATGCCCCCCCCCTCTCCCCATATTTAGCCCTGTACGTGGAATGAAGGAGCACAAGGGTTGTTTGCGAGCACCTAGTAAGGGCGGGTTAGAGCAGAGGGATGGGATGGGGGTGTTGTGAAAACGAGCAGCACGGCTTGCCGTCTTTGTCTCCCTTGGGCTGATGTTAACACACCCGACACCAGGTGCTCATTTATGGCAGTCTGGCTCGGGTATGTCAGGGCCAGACAACCACTTGCGTGGTCAGTAATTGAATCCAGGTAAGTTTGCAGATATAGCACGTGTATTTTATTAGAGATAGTATCATAACTATCCATGACGACGATGAATAACACGAAAGCAATGTTTTAAAGGCTAATACTTTGCATCGAAACAAAAGGGCAGGATTCGTGTAAACATTTAAAACCCTGATAGTCTAAACGTGCGTATATGTAAATTAACTTTTTAATTATTAAAGATGAACTTGTACCTTTGGAAAGTCAAGTTGAGTATCCATTAAATTTGCTATGTAACTACATTGTGTCTACAATGCATCATATATGATGGCCATAACAGGAGTTCTGCTGAGTGCGTGCTAACTGACTTTACTACGGTAGAGGTAAATACTCAAAGGCAAAGGATATTACATCATAAAAAAGCAGTTTGCCCTCTTTGTTAAGTGCGTTATGTGCAGGCACTGTAGAGCTATTATAATTCTTGACTATATAAGAATGATATGCTTTTATTAGACCATATTTTTTCGTGATACTGCATTGGCAGTGGTTGGCAAAGCACAAATAACACCAACAACAACAATTGAGCGCATTTGTTAATAACACTGCCCTGAACGGGGAGGGGGGGGGGGGATGTAACGGGCAACATCGCAGGCACTGGACCTTCTTCATCGCAGAGAGAATGCGTTGAGTTTATGCTTTTGTTTCAAGTGTATTCTACACTCTGCATTAGATGGAACTTGTGCAGTCAAACCTTATTTAGTATTGTCTACTGAGGAGCGTTACTGCTAAATGTACACATGTTTAACTTCTTTCGCACCGTACGCAGCCAATGTCACAGGCCAAGTATTTGTTTTTGAAACGATGTCTTGAAAAAAGGAGTTTCTGAAATAAATTTGAATTCTATGACTCGCCCTTCCACATCACAAGCTGCGTAGCTTTTTACAATAAACCGGCCGCGCACAAATGATAAAAACATATATTGATGTGTTGAATATTTGATGATGCTACAAACATTTTAATTACGGTCAGAACACGAAACGTGTGCCTGTTATTCAGTCAAATGTGGTTTTAAAGGAGCGCAATGCTTCATAAACAGGTACAAAGGTCAACTGTCAAATTTTTTTCCCTTGACTTTTTGCAACATTCGCATGTTATAACTTGAATGGGCATCGTCTTGTGCAAAATCCACGGTCGTCAAAGCTGATTTTTATTTCCTCTCTTCAAAATTTCCCCGCAGATTTTGGCTGCCGCCTTTGCCCTGTGCCTTTTTGGCACGTACGCTGATGCCAGAAAACAGAAATGTATGGCAATAACACCACCTTTAACAAGTAAGTGGCTTTACTGTGTTGACCGTAACCTGGTGCCGTCACTTAAATGTCTGCTGGTCTCTGTAAAGTGCAGTCGAGTGTATTTTGTCGAAGGAAATGTGGTAGCAGTAACACAATGGACCATTTAATGAGTATACGTGTACGAATCGGTGTAATTGTTTAATAAGTTACTACATGTTTACTGATACAATATTATTCTTTTTTTTACACTTTGTAATTGAGACGAAGCACTTATTTGTAACGCTTGCAGAGCAATGCATCGCCCCTATGCAATAGAAAATTGCCTGTAGAAGAATATTATCAGAACTCCTGCCAAGGTGCTTTCAAAGTGACCTCTTCATCCCCTCCTAGTGTGGATTAGGCTTTCCCACTCACCCTACAGAAAATAAATGTCCGTCGTTTTAACAGGCAAATCAATACATTTTTTGTTCTCATTAATTTATTTTTTACCAGGATGATAACATTAGCTCGCTATGCTTGAGAACCCTGTATAATCACAGGTGGCTGCCAAGATAAGAACCCAGGATCTTAGGAGTGCCATCTCGGTGCACTGACCCCTACGCCACCACAAGTCACCTATATTTGTTAGTGTCTCTTGAGTATATTCATTTACCCTGATATCCATTGCAGCCTCTGTCATTTTAAACTTTTCAAATGACACATGAGCGTTTGTGACTATGGAAAGCTTACACCAATTGCATATTGTATGTCGTGAATACAAATATAAAAACATGTTGATCTGAAGTGCACAAGCGTGAAGAAGTGACGTTTCTTAAAATAGATGCTTCAGAGGATGGCTTTAAGGAATGAGACAAGCCTGCAGGTGTTAAACATTTTGTCACAATCGAACGCGATGCACAAAAGTGGACCAGACTTGATTTACACATTGTGTGGAGAAACTCTATCCAGGAGATGTTATCGGCTAGCTTGAGATGTTTGTTATGTTATATTCTGCATTGAAGAGAGCCTCAAGATAGCATTGACCTAGACACCGACATAATATTTCGCACCAACTTTTCTGGCATGTCAGGGCATTAGAAATGCAGCCCATACATTCCGTCATTAACATGCAGGTAAATGGACATGCAGCGGTGAACAAGAGTGGGCATGTAGGTGTAAGGCTTGCCAAAATAAGATATTTTAATCGTTTGTCTAATTTCTCTTTACTTTATGGGTTCTGGCTAGAATATATCTAAATAAACAGAATACAGTACATCTTCTTGGTTCTTTCGGTAAAGTCACGTAGAATGGAAATAAAATAATACAAATATAACGTAATAAAATAAAATTCTCACGACGTTTCGGCCACAACACAAGAAAGCTACTTGTGTTGTGGCCGGAACGTCGTGAGAATTTTATTTTATTATGTTTTATTTTTATTATTTTATTTCCATTCTGCGTGACTTTACCGAAAGAACCAATAAGATGAATCCCTGCAGTCACGAATGCTTTAAATCGAACCAGAATTCAGTAGTCTCAAAGCTACAGTGGTATGCGTGCTTGGATATTAATTGCACAAAACACAATTCCGCACACAGTATTGATAATAATAATGCTATTCAAACGTCATTCTGTGTGGCTCGCCTTAATCGCACAATATGGAATGGGTTCTGAAAAAGCAGGCCTGCACAAAACAGAAAATGGAAATGCTTTTGCCTTCAATTGTTTTACTTTAAAAAAAAAGAAAAATGTAATATTGTTGAACATTAAAGAAATATTTTGGAAAAATCAAATTTGTGGCACCTAGTAATTGCTGCGTGCTTTCTACAATTCATCGGTACGGAATGGAAAATTGCACAGAAATTTGCTTTCCGCCTTCATGACTTGCCCATCTCTCAGTGATTGGCGTTGTATTGGAGAAGACCCATTGTCAACGCATGTGCTCATGGTGAACTTCGTCTTTTTGGAAAGAGCACATTTGGGTTTGAAATTAATAGTTAAGTACTAATTTGTAAAAAAAAAAAAATAACAACGTTCAATCGGTTATTCCCGCAACATTTTAGTACTCTATGCATTTCACTGCAACATTATAAGGGATTTTAATTTGGTCGAGAATGAAGTGGTGGCGTGGAAGCATCGCGGTTAGCGCACCACAATATGAAGCGAGTAACCTGGATTTGATTTTCAGCAATGGGTAATGCCAGCCAGCGATGAGTGATAGCTGAACCACCCCTGAGTGCCCGCACCGCTTCATCAACCCACACTGACCAGGGTGGTGAAGTATGGTCAAACAACCCCTATGACCAACACTGGCGTGAGGAGGCTCTAGTCCAACAGTGGATGAAGGGCTGTAAATGATGAAGGGCTGTAAATAAAATAGAGAGAATGAAGTGGCATGCACTTCTCATCTGGTTATTCATTGGATATATTCAGTGGCTATTTAAAGTATGGCCAGTAGGTTTGAAACACAGCAGCATGGTTAAATACTGAGCAAATGAGAGATCGTCTTCCGAGCAGACTGAGCTGGCGAACATATGGCTAAAATGTTTTTTTTCCAAAAGAAAAAAAAACGGATTGGTTCAAAGTTATTGACTTATTTGTTTGTTTCACACTATAAACTATCCTGCTGTTGGTACAAATTATTCTTTGAAAGCTCAGTAGAGCATTTGATAGGTTTTTTGACCGTTATCAAAGACGCAGCGTGGTAGCACTTTGCCTGCTGAAGGTGGCTGCAGCTAATACCACGTCCCTCTTCGCTCTTGTCATCCTGTAAGCGATGAGACATCCAGCCAAGCCGAGAAGTACATCCTTGCTGGCATCTTCTCCATCATCATCGCTGTGACCATTCTGGGAAACCTGCTGGTGGTGGTCGCTGTGTGCAAGGATAGACACCTCCGGTGAGACCCTCTGTCGATCATCAGGTCCAACGACCTATGTGGAGACGCAAAGTAGTTTTGGGTATATGTGCACACTACCCATGACGTTCCACGGCAGTGCGTAATGAGTTTGTGCAGGGCATTGCTTCTTGCATTGATTGCAGTCACATAGGTTACATGGTGTGATCTTTCCAGAGGCATCTCGTATTTGTTTTACCAACCTGCCTCTGCTGATGAGACCCAGAAGGTTGAAATTTGTCCAAAGTTTGCTCATTTTTAGCCAATGCTGCTTGATAAAAATTGATGTTGAAATCGAAAAGGCCGATGGAACAAACAATCTTTGTATTTATTTATGGAGACACAGAGAGCATAGTTTATACTTGTATCCAGTCCACCTGCATCCCCCCCCCTCAACCGGGAAAGAAATAAACCGCAGGTGTAAACTGCCTCGGAACACTTTGAGTGCACGCGTTCACTCGGCTGGACCCCGTGGTTACGTTTGCAGCGATGGCTTTAAGCCATCCCATTGATTGTTCCAGAAACATAAGAGGAGAACATTGGCAGCGGATCCTCATTTGACCCTTGCAGGTTGGCTCGGTGTTACACAACCACACCCCCTTTTTCCCCCTCTCCTCTTATAATCCATCTGAAAAGGAAAAAAAGCAATGCGCAAATGCATCTTTTGTGTAATGGCACCACTTGTCCGGATATAAATCCCATTTAAGAGGATGTGTTTCCTACTGGAAGGATTAGTGCGGAGTTTGGTCAGCATTGCTCACATTTAAAATGTATTTGCGCAAAACGAGCGTCGCTGTGATATCAAACCCATTCATGGTATAAAATTCTCTACAGTGAAACTGCTATTCCAAGTGGGTATCTGACCTTGTACCAATCACCCACCCCCGCCTTATCTGCTTCACCAGATTTGTACAGACGTAGAGAAAACATCTCTTCCAACCCCCCCTTCCCCCATGTCATATACTATATTATAATGGGTTTACCCTGCTAGCTGGTTGACATTGACTTCAAACTATTGCCCACTGTCTCAGCCAATTTCAGAAGCCATCAAAACCTATTTGTCTGGCGTGTGTGAGAGGGACATTCTTTGTACACCGACGCAACGCTCTATCTGCTTCATTACGCGTACGAGATTCTGGAGCAATAGCTCTGTATGAGATTCTGTTTTATCAGACTTCTTGTGGTGGTGGTGGTGGTGTCGTGTGAACCGTCGTGTCGAAAGTGGAATGTGACGTGCAGTATTTTAAATAAGCATGACACACTGACCCTTATGTCCCATATCGCTCGCTGTGGAGATCTTTATTTCTGGTCTGTGATGGTGAAACAAAACAACATATAATAATTTCCTTTTATTAACCTGTTAATTGTATTAACATACAAGTCAGTTTCTGAGTAGACCAAATGCAGTCTCTAAAGGGGCCCTCAGGAGCTCCCTCTAGTAAAGGCTCTTCTGGTTAGCAGTGGCATGAGCAAAACAATTGCAGAGCTGTACCTTTAACCCTGTGGTTTATTTGCAAGGTTTTCTGTTTCATCTCAGCTTTCGTGACTCCAGGGAACCCATCCTCTTTGGTTCTTTCGGTAAAGTCACGTCGGTTTTTTTGTTTTGTTTTTCTCGCCAAAGTAAATACCACTTGCTTTACAAAAAACAGCGATTGAATATATTTATTTCATTCGTAGTCGTTTTTGGATGCATTACAGAAAGCAAATAAATAACACACGCAGTTGCTATAGACAGTTTTCACACAGCTTGAATTTACGACTGACTCTTGTTTTTTGTCTGAGGTACTCATCTGGTGGTCATACACCCAGCACTATCCATTGCATCAAAAATGAAAAACCTTCTCATTAGCAGGCTTTTGGAAAAGGCTAATGGGAATCTAATATGCCCTGTATGGTCTACTCTTATGTTCCCATTAACGCATTCCAGTGGGCATTGTGAGGGATCTGTGGTTGAGGTGCATTATACATTTATTTATTTGTGGATGACAATAGTCAGGATTGTGAGTCACAGCTGAAATATCTTCATGAATTGAGGGTTCAAACTCCCTCCTTATGATTGAGTTTACATTCCCAATGCGTCGAAAACCTAATTAACAGCCAACTCTCTGAATGTATAAAAATTTCATACGTGTTCATTGCCCAGGTGTTCACGGTGCCCATTTGCAGTTAACCCACTGCGTTTGTTGTGCAGCAGCAACGAAGGGCATAAAGGGAGCACCATTTATTTTATGTGTCTGTGCTTGCGGGCATTCGCCATAAGGTTAGCAACTGGTCACGGTGGAAAATATGGTATTATATACAAATACGTGCTTGTTAATTCAACTCCGCCTGGAACCTGCGTGAAAAAATGCAAGCTAAATGTGACCCAGAGGCAAGGAATAGAGGCGTGAGATTGAGCTCTTCCCTACCTTGACATGGATTTGAGAAATGGCTCTCTGGCACATTCAACTTTGCTTTGGTGGCTGCACTTTAAGTGGCCTCGGCTTCTGAGTCATCAGATTAGCTAGCCAATGCATTGTCAAGTTTTGGTGTACGAGGTGGTGGTTCAATACCTTTTTTAATGGAATGAATGGATGCTTACTTTTCTATTTATAATTGCATGATTGTAGTGGCCACACTTGTTGTGAATACAATGTTAACCCCACAAGGGATCCTTTTGTAACTTGAGGTGAGAAATTTACAGCCTCGGGTATAAACCAGTGTCTTTATAATATGCTCTCTGAAGTTAAATGCTGAATCTGTTACTGAGCTGTAACATTTTTAACCTCAAGGATGAGACACTGAACGCATATTTTAATGTTAGGCTTTCCCACCTGATGACGGACGCTTGCACCCGAAACGTCGTGATTTATTTTATTTTATACCTACGTGACTCTACCCAAAGAACCAAAGAGTGTTTATTTTAATGTGTTTTTGTATCCCTCTGCCACTTCAAAATTTTTATTTTTTGGGTCTTTCGGTAAAGTCACGTAGATAGGTTTAAAGAAAATAACAACAAAACTACGACGTTTCGATCGCAACACAAGTGGTCGTCCGTGACTTTACCGAAAGACCCAAAGAATATGAATGCCTGCAGTCACGAAAGCTTTAAGTCAAGATTCAAAAATGTTGTCAACGATGCATTCGTTTTAACAATGCCCATGTTAATTTATATCGTTTGTTAGAAAAATCAAGACCAACTACTTCATTGTGTCACTGGCAGTGGCAGACCTTCTGGTGGCTATTCTTGTGATGCCCTTTGGGGCTGTGGAGAGGGTGCAGAACGACTGGCCCTATGGCGACAAATTCTGCATAATTCGAACCTCCTTTGACGTCATGTTTACCACTGCCTCCATCATGCACCTCTGCTGCATCGCGTTGGACAGGTAATTCCTCACCACAACATCTGCCTACTCAACGTCAATTTCCACGGTGGTCCCAAAAACCCCGCCCAAAGCTCAATCCATAAATTATCCCCCCCCCCCCTTCATGCCCACATCCTGTGCATATCACCAATCGTAGCCCCAATATTATTTATCAACCACAATAACTCTAAACCTCTGCCCATGAAGTTAGACCTACAAATCTGCCTTTCAACTTTTGTGCGCTTGACTGGATCATTGCATTTTAACGCTGGGATTAGTTCAAGGTTGTCAATAAAAAGTTGATTTTTTTTGGTGAACTCTTTGGTACATTCAAAAGCGTAATGAAGAATCGGAACTTCTTACAGACTGCGCCAGGTATTTAGTTGCTGATCCTTTTGGACTAAGCCTTGTGGCTTTAACAAGTACATGATTGCATGTAATGCTCATTTTCTTCCTTGATTCAGAATGTGTCAAGTACCATAACATGAAGGAAATTCTAAAAAGAATATCATTTCGGATAAAATTCATACTTTCAAAGGACTTTCTGGAACTTAACTAATTTTTAAATACACGGTGTCGGTGATGTTGAATTCACTTGTACATACGGTACAGGTTAGTGATGAGTCCTCCTTCCCAAGCAATTGGGATTCAAATCCAGCAGTGACTAAACTCAACTCTAATGTCTCACAGTTCAACAATTTGCAAAGGAATTCTCAATTTGTGTGCACTGGGGGTAGCCATTAATGGGTAATTACACGCTACTTTAAACATATCGAGAGTCAATATGGATACAATGACTGCCGTTACTGCTATTGACCACACCTAGTGTAAGAAATAAATGTGCACCAGCTTAGAACGCTGTGCCATTATATTGCCTAGGCATGCACAACTATTCTGGTCTCTGAGATTTTTTTTTTATATACGTGCGTAAATCTTCATTTGGACTTTGACTTTGTGCCTGTGCCAATAGGCCTTGACTCGAGCCATCTCTTTCTGATATTAGCGCTCAGCTCTGCACTTGGCACCGTGGAGATGAAAGACACCGCACAATGCCAATTGCTAACAGCCTTCCGAATGTGTTGCACCTCCAAAACAGCCGCCAGCTATCAGCGAGCGCACTTTTATTTCTGCGATGCTCGAGTTCGTCCATCAACGCTGCGTATTCAATGGGGATAACTTCATTGGCATGAACTGATGCAAGCGCAGCATTGCTCAACAAAGTGTGCCACCCGTGTGACTATCTATAACCCACTCTGGCAGCCATGTGAGGAATCTTACAGAATAATTGCGGCGATATATCACTCTGCGTTGATGAAGTACGCGCTTTGGTTGTGCCCCATTTGTGTAATGGACTTCGATAGGAATTAATAATTGACATCGTGCTTGATTTACAGAAAGGCGATTTACAAACAATTGGCATCGTGTTGATATGTCTTTAAAAGAAAAAAAATCTGTAATATTCATCATTATAATTAGTGATAGATTAGAAAAAGACTAAGATCTATTCTGTTAAACGTGCAAGCTTGCAATTGCCAACCTCTTGCATTCAACTGCGAAACACTTTGCGTCCTGAAAACCGACTGCAGGCCAGCAGAAGTTTCGTTTCATTGTCGCAGTAATTTATGGGAAAGTACATTTCATGCAAAAGTCCATTTAAACGTTTCGTGGATTTATCCTTGGTGATTGACAACTCTCAACAGTTGATTACTCTGCTTCTCGACTTGCCGCCCCTTATATGTGCACAAAGTTGCCCGTGTGTGTACGCTCGGGAAGCTTCAACGCAAACGTGTGTCCGTGTGCAGGTTTTACGCCATTTGCTGCAAGCCCCTGGTCTACCAAAATAAAATGACGCCTCTGAGAGTGGGGCTGATGCTGGGGGCGTGTTGGGTCGTCCCTTCCCTCATCTCGTTCATCCCCATAGCCAACGGCTGGAACATCATCGGCATAGAACAACAGGTGTTTCTCTTGGCTGCCTGCCAGCCCCTTGTTCGGTTGCCGCCATATCTCAGCCATGTCAAATATATTATAAATATATTATTAATTTGTCGGCGACTGTGCTTATATACTGCATGAATGTGTCTCTATGTGTCTGACAGTAGGATATATGCATGTGTCTGAGTGGCAGTGTAATGGTTAGCGCACTGCGCTACGAACCCCGGTAACCTGAGTTCGATTCCAGGCTATGGCTAACATCGTTGGAAGTATATCTGAACTGGTCCTGGGCCGTCCCTTAGGTTGACTCGGCTTTAAATGGGTAGCTGGTGGGGTACGTGTACATCAGCATTGGGGAGAAAAAAGTGGTTGATTAGACGAGTACTGTGCCAGCTTTCATAGGTGCTCGCTAACAGCGATCACCAGCCTAGGTAGGTTATACAGAGGATATATGTCTCGAAACATCAGTGACATAGCGATGTTAACGTTGTTTTTTTTTTTACACGCTGCGCGATGTAAATATAAAAAAAAGTGTGACTTGTTTTGTGCGAGCTATTCGACGATTTTCTGTGGATCCGCTGCGGGGTAACCTAACCTACGAGTCGCGTGCACCACAGCTTGAGCTCCGGCTCGGTCAGGCGAAGGAGGCGAACCAGACGCACTGCATCTTCATGGTGAACAAGGTGTACGCGGTGGCCTGCTCTCTCGTTGCCTTCTACATCCCCCTGGGGCTCATGGCGGCCGCGTACCAGCGCATCTACGTGACGGCGCGCGCCCATGCGCGCCAGATCGGCTCGCTGCAGCGCGCCGTCTCGAAGGACACCACGGGTGACGAAGTGACAATGGTGACCTCGGGCGCCGCATCGCCCCTGAGGGCCCAGCAGCTGGTGCCGGTGGCCCAGGCCACGATGGTGCAAACGCAGTCGACGCGCTTCCGTCACGAGACGAAGGCGGCCAAGACTCTGGCGATCATCATGGGCTGCTTCTGCCTGTGCTGGGCGCCGTTCTTCATCAACAATGTGATCGACCCGTTCGTGAACTATGACACGCCGCAACAGCTGTGGGACGCGTGGCTGTGGCTGGGCTATGCCAACTCGGCGCTCAATCCACTCCTCTACGCGTTCCTCAACCGATCGTTCCGGCGCGCTTTCCTCGCCATCCTGTGCTGCTGGGACGCGGCTCGCTACCGCCGCTCATCCTTCAGCAGTCACTCCGTGCGCTACTCCGTCAGCACCAACGGCAGCGCTGTCCAGCCGGTGCCCAGGTGAGCCGTCCTGGCTTCGGCATGCTTGTGTACGTGCATGGTTTCTCCCTTTTCAGTATTTAGCTGCTTGGAGAGATGTTTACTGGTAAGAAGCGTAGAAGCACTGGTGTCTTATTATATTTATTTGCCGAACACTTTGCCAATAGGGTGGGGAGCGGTGGTGCAGTATGAACCTCACGGCCTGGGTTTGATCCCTGACCACCGCTAATATATTACGCGAGTGATATATTCGAGCTGGCCTTTAACCCCCACTTCGCCAACTCGTGCTGATCAGCATAGGGAAGTATGGTCAAATAATCCCACATTACTGAAAATTTTAAAACATTCGTTATTTCTTTCCCCCCCCCCCCAATGTATTCCAATTGTGTTAGCCTAATGTCTCGAGGCGAATAATTAGTTTAGGATCTCACAGAGCAAACACCCCTGATGTGTCAGAGAATGGCTCTCGAAAAATCCTTCCAGTGGCCTTTCCCATGCCCTCTGCAGTGAGATTGTTTGCCGCTTGGCAGTCAAACCATTATTTTACAATTTCAGAACTGGAATTTAGCTAATAAAGTTAAAACCAAATTTAATTACAATGATTTTTTTTTACGTGTACAGTCATTAGTCACTGAGCTGAGAACATCAACTCGCTATACTTGATGAATCCTGGCAATCATAACTGGTTGCTAGGATTCAAACCCAGGTTCTCAGTGGTGCTGGCTCAGAACTCTGACCCACCATGTCACCTCATGTAAAATTATTGTATGTACTTATTATTATTACTACGACTACACCTTAGTCAAGTGACAATTATTTAATTGGTGTTTTGGATGAGGGGTGGGGGGAGTTGCAAAATTTTATACGTGAAAAAAAAATCCTTCTGTTCCCAATTGAGGAAACAGCGTCAATATCCAGTTCTTACCAGTCGGGCACTAGCCTGATTTTATTGTTTTATTGTAACACGGTTGGTAGTTCAGGGTCCAAGTGTGTGTTTATAGGTCGTTAAACAAATACTTGCATAGTATGTGATAGCAATTCCTTCACTTGTTACATTATTTTAAGTGGTATGTATTCCACGGCAAACAGAATGCCTCTGGGTGCTATGTCACATTGCATTTTGCTTGCTGGTGAATCGTGGATTTTTTTTTATATATGAAGCAGACCTCAAATGGCTCACGAGAATAATTCAATATTCTGTGTTGTGGCACTGTTGGAATGTTGCTTTGTTTTGTTGCCAAGAGATGAATGTCCATTGAAGCCATATGGGCAACAAGCGACATTGGCATGGCTTATCAGCCTCCTTATTTTTAGCACAACCTCTTTCGTTTTTAGATAAAATGCTTTATGTAACTTTTGATCTGGGTTAAGGTACAAAGGTTCGTTGTAACCGAAGGTGATAAGCTCTATTGCAGGTCTCTCACAATCTGTAAAATGCGTGAAGCATGGCAGTCGGTGCTGCGTTACTTCTTCAGCATCATTTATAAAAAGAGGGTATATCACCGGTTCGATTTAAGATATTTCCCCCCCCCCTTCCACTTTACTAGGAAAGCCATGTAGATGCAATTGAGCGCTTAATTAGTTTTCAACCTGTCTTTGGCTGGAATTTCACAACTGGTGGCATATATATACGTTCAGAATGGCAATTGGTGACTTATTGTCGGTAACAAAAATAGTTTTTTTATGGAGGAAGAAGACGTGCAGACATTGCTCCGATTCGCAACCATCTCTCTCCGATTCCCAGCAAGATGGCTATAAATATGCTTGTAATGAAATCTCTTCAACCACTCTTAAATTAATCGGAATACAGTTTGATGAGCTCTAGCTCGTGTTATCATGTATGTTGGATGCACATGTGCAAGTCCACTCCTACGTGCATGTAGCGTTGTTTTGAATGTTTTAAAAAAGGCTATTAGCTGTGATGTTTCTACGGATATTTAGTTTTGTAAAACCAAATATTTGGTGTACACAGGATTTGCAGTCTTTGATGTTTTTTTTTGCCCCACTTCCTCATGCTAAGTAATTGTGGAAGGTTGTTGCCCAGCTGCATGACTTATTTGCCTTTCGAAGTTTACCTGCAGGTGCCTTCATTTATTAACGTCAAGTCAAAGGGATTTCCTGCTCCAATGAGCGTTGAAGCAAGTACTCATCTGCTGTTTACAGCATTTAATCCATTGGTTTAAGTTCTGCATTCTTACGACAGAGTGAGTCTATCCTTAGGACAATTATCAATCACTTGCCCACAGAGCTTGTGCTCATCTTATCAACACCAAAAGAATGGTGGATTGAATCGAGCACCAAATGTCATATTTACTAGCGACCTCCCGATTGTGAACTGCACGCTCTACCGCTGTGCCTCCCAGTCAGACATCACGTTCTACAAATTTATTTCCATAAATTCTAGCCATTAATCCAATGCTGGATGAAGGGCCTCTCCCACATGATATTGGCAGTGCCAGATTAAGCTAGTGTGGGGCCTGTAGCATATGTTATAAAGGGGCCCTAAATAATAATAAAAAAACAAGTAAATATTAAAACACAAATTTTTAAATCGTGACTTAAAGCTTTCGTGACTATCTTCGTGACTTTACCGAAAGACCCAAAGAATACAATTTTTTTACTTGCGTATTAAAGTAATTGTATTTTTTCATTTGCTATACAGCCAGATAATACGACAAATTGCTAACCTTAAACATCCAGTTGTTCATAAAAGTTGAAGGCACTATAGTACTATAGTAATAGAGCAAGTGCAGAATCAGTGAACTGGAATTTATAGCTTGAAAGCTTTTAGCGCGGGGCCCTTGAAAGTGCGAGACCCCCATCTCCCCCGCTGAAGGGGAGATGGGGGGGGGGCAGGTCTAGGTTTTGATATTATTTGTCCATGGTGTTAGCCGTGGCTGGAAATGGAGCTCTGGTTCCTCTGCGATTAACAGTCACAGCGTGCTAACCAGCTTGTTATGTAGGCAGTGTTCATGCCCCGTTTGCAGCCCCGGATCCAGTGGTGAAAATGTCCACATTTCACATAACAGGAGTGAGTCTCTCCATTGGAACAACCACTGTTGGCTTCTCGACAAAACACGGTACTCACTTTATTGACCCCGGAGGGATAATGGGCTGAGTCAATTCCCCCCCAAACAGGATTTGAACTCCCAAACATTCCTCTTGTGAGCCGCTCACTCGACCACTGAGCCACCTGGTCGATAATTTATTAAAAGTTATTACATTACTATATTAGAAACTTCTGCCATTTCCCAAGCAATTACTTCATACCTGCATGTCTTTTTAATTGCAAAAGTTTAGCACCAGTGTAATGTGAAACAGAACAAATGATTCCAGGTGCAAAAGCCATTACCGTGCACTGTTGGCTCCGTCCGGTGCAAAATGAGTTCAACAAACATACGTGACCGTGTTTTTTGCGGTGCTCTTTGCAAAGACTACTGCTACTTGAAAGGACAATTGTTAAATACGTATTGTGTGGCTGTGAGACACAGTATCTCCTCTTGCTGCAGATAATGTTTAACACCGTGGTACAGGTTGCAATGTCAAGACAATGGCATATCACCACTGTAGATTTAATCGCACAGAACTTAAAGGTTAAAGGAACAAACAAACATGTTTTTCTGAAATCAATAGATGTTTTAGGGAGCTCCCTTCTCAATCTGGGGGTGGAGCGAAATGTACATGTTTAATTCGCACCATACGTAGCCAACCGTGTTTACCGGAGGTGCAGTGGTATGTGCACTGCGCCACAAACCATGCTACCTTAGTTCGATTCCCAGCCGTGGTTAATGTCAGTGGTGAGACGATATTTAAACAGGCCCTGCCTGCCTCCCCCCACGATTTATGCTGCGTGGGGAGGCATTCATTCAGCAGTGGGTTGTTTGAGGGCTGTTCTCAACTATTTTCAATGTGATCCATGAAATTGGGGAAACAGATTAATTATTTGCCGATGCTGCATTGTCAATGGCGCATGAGCACGAATAATAAAAAGAACTCGACACATTCGTCAATAACACTGCCTTGAAAGGACAAGTGTATTATTATAGGTGACTTTTCAGGTAATGGCCGCTGTCGCTGCTGCTGCCACCGCTGCCGCTGATGGAGAAGGGCCATTTAAACCTTATGGCAGTACCCCAGGGATACCATAGTACCCCGGCTCTCGCATAATGTCCGTGATGCAGTCATTTTTAGTCTGTTGATGGTCGGCGATGCGGCAATCGACTCATCTCGACGAGCTGTACACGACGCACCACCACGGTGCGTGCGAGCGTTCAGGGTTTCAGCGCAATCGTCCTCGCTGTGTTTCGACATCGCGGAGTGTGGCACTGATTTCGGGTTGATTGGTACCCCAGTCGCGGAGTTGAGTAACACCCCTGGAAAAAATAGCGTCCCAGAAATAAAATATTTAATTGCCTCGGCCATTTTGTATTATTTGGTACCCTGGGGTACCGCCTAAGGATCACTTGCCGAAACGTCACCTGCTACATGTTTTTCCTTTCATGGCAGTGTTATTGATGAATGTGAGTGTTTTCGTGAAATTGTTGACTTGTCAGCCAGCTGACGTAACAATGTGAATTTAAGCACGGTGCATGCTGGGAGTCGAATGCTGGAAGCCCTAGTGCTATTTTTATCGCATTTTCTGAACACAGGCCCAAAATGCCAAGTGACCATCAACAAACAGAGGAGGACTATTGAGGATGTAATAGATACAACTCAATATGTTCTTTGATTTGAGCCATGTTATAAGTCCTTGGGAAAATATCCCATGGGAGCGAACGCCAAAATTTAGCAGCGCGAGCAAGAAAAAATAAAAAGCATAAAGAGAAGTGGTCTGACCTGCGGTGTGGTGTTGGAACATGGTAAGAATCGGACGAAACAGTTGGCCTGTTGGACAGAGTCGTCCAAGTGGGTGGAGGAATCGATGATCATGTGAGTAAAGTTAGATATATGTTGCGATCTTCTTACAAGCTCAACATTTTTTCCAGGAAGCGTGGGCACCCTGGAGGGACGAATGTAACCTTGCCACGCACCGACATTTGGTGGATGCTTGGACTATTGCACCGAGAGATATTTCACCAAACCTCATGATGTGCCGTTGCTGTATTAAAATAGAATTTTATGAGCTGTGAAGTGTTGTGAAAATGAACCCCGGTTATAAAAATGCCCTCCCAGTGTTTCTACCCACAGCTCTGGTTAACATTATAGAGCAAGACTACTATAGTATGCTTTCTTCGGCCATGTGAAGCTGAATGGACTTATGAAAAAGTCATGTTTTCAGCAATATTCAGACAGCACATGCGATGGACACAACAGGAGCTCCAAGCTTTAATATCACTGTGGCATTGTTGCAATGCAACGTGATTGCATTTATCTCATGCGTGAGTTGCTTTTGAATATTTGTTTGATATTTAAAATTTAAACAATATATTTTGGGGCAAATTTGTATGACCTGAAAGTAAAATATAATGGAACAAAAAAATGTTCACGTAATTACGAACTTTAAATGTATACTTCAAATTACTTTTCTTCCAGAGGACGTTCAGTGACGAACATTGTAATATTTGCGGTTATTATCACACCCCATTAGTATTTCATCTTTTTTTCCCGCCAGTGCGTATCAAAAGCGATCTGCTTTTGTGTGCTTGGCAAGGCACTGCAGAATTCACCTGGGGCTGGGTGGCCCCCACAGTGCGCCTCTTCCATTTACTTTATCCCAGGGTCGATGATTTTTTGGAAAATGACTGTTGGTCTTCTTGTTGACCTTGAATTCAAGCTACAAATCTCCGGCTCGCTTTTTGTGTAAGGCCAGGCATGACATAGTAAAGTGTTTGCACTCCATAAAGAGTAAAAACACAGCACTATTGGCCCAGCGATTCCACTGAGAGACCAGCAAGTGCAGGACGGTCGTGGTGTAGGTATAGTTTGTCCTCTTATTTATAGGCTTCGCGTGAACACGCTCTGATGCAATATGAAGAACCGACACGCTTGTTCAATTTACATCGATGTTGAGCATTTACTGACGGCTATGTTGACTAAAACTGCCCTCGGAGTTTGCAGGTGTAAAGTTCATAGCTGTACAATAACGATAATGGTTTAAGACCTAGATGGTGGCAAGCACAAAGGAGAAAAGTAAGATTATGACCCGGTGAGTGTAGGATTACTGCGCAGCGTTTCTTAGTTGTGATGTACAGCTCTCCCGTGTGTTTTCTTGTTATGCTGTACGTTGTTCAGCAGTATGTCCGATGTTTCGCTTCATGTTGCAGCGGGTCAGAAACATTGGACATCATGCAAAAACAATGCGAGGCGCCACCCGAAATGATCTTTGCTAAACGTAATCGTAGCCTTTGTAAAATGGACAGTGTGGCTGTTAGAATTATTGCATTGTTAATACTAACACACTGCAGCAGAAGGGCAAATCCTTTACGGCTGTACTGCGGTGTCCTCGAGTTTCAGAGGCTTTTTGTCCCTTCTCTTCACTCCCTCTCCTCCGCTCGCACCTCTCCTTTCCCTCCTGCGCTGCGTGTGTGTGAATGTACGCCGTGTGGTACGCGCGCACGTGCGTTTTTTTCTTCCCCCGTGGGCCCCACGTGTGTGCGCGTGCGTGTGCCTGTACAGCGCGCGCGTGCGAGCTCGCGCACGCCTTCCCAGCCGCCCGCGGACTCGGGCCGCGGCGTGCCCTGCTGTCTCCAAACTGGTGACACATTTCTGTGGGGCGCCCAGTCCAGTCTAACCCGCTGCTAAGGCTTCTGGGCACCTGCCCTGCACTGTAAGTGTCTGCTGCACGTTGGCTGTGGGCTGCAGTAAATTTAATAAACAGAGTTAGCTGCTCCATTAATTCCAATCTTTCTGCTCCTCGGCCATGCCAGAAAATGACATGCAAATGGATTCGCTTTGTTTTTTGTTTTCAAGCTGGTTTTGTTACCGCTTGCATTCGCCACTCTTCCCATTTCAGATGAACAGTGTTTTCTTTTGCTTTGCATGGGGCTGTGCTTTGTGAATGGATAATTTTTTTTTAAAGGCCGATCATTCGTAATTGTAGCTCGGAAGGTTTTGTAAATGTATTCGACATTTGTTTTTGTTTGACGCTTCTTGCATGCATATGCCTGAATGTGAGTATGCAACTACTGGCTCTTAAGTAGTTGCACGTCAATGTTACAAATACGCGTTTGCATACAAAACAACATGCATGCAACTTATTGTGTTTTTTAACATGGGAATATTCTTTTGAATACTATTTATAGCATGAATGTCTGCACACCACTAATGTTTTGTTGTACAAATGCTATTAAGCGTGCAGCATATGCAATATGTGGTTTAATTTCGCCGCTATCCTTAGTGCACCATGAAAATGTGGCCTAGATGTTTCTTGTTCCTGGATATAAGTAATGGATCAATGATAATAATGTGGTCTCTTTACAATACTCCAATAGCACAGATTTTTCTACATTTGGTGCCATATATTTAAGCAATATTTCTGATGAAAATGTATGGCAGATGACATTCGGCATTATATTTACAGTAGCCAATTGGTTCCATCATCCACCATAATCTATCCACTGTTGGATGAAGCCCTCCCCTTAACCGTCCTCATGGTCCTACAAAGAAACAATGCATCCCCTTCCTGCACGAGCTGATCTCCCCACTCCATCTCTTGGGTGTGTTCTTTCCATTGGCTGACATTCCATTATAGGTCTTTTCCATTGGCCATCGTTCCGCACACTTAACAGTCAAAATAATGTCTCAATTATGTTTGTTCCCTGATGCATGTTTAATTCCCAGCATGTATCTCTCCATGCTTATTTGCACGCTTGTTTGCTTTTGTTGCATGCTGTTTGTCATTCTCCATGTTTTTTCACTGATATGTCATGGCCTGTTATATGCACTGATTGAAAACTTTATTTTTCAGGCACATTTATTACACTAATGTATTTCTATGAAATATGTTTGAATGTTGTTTTTCATTAAGAATTTCAGTTTTCTAAAAGCACTCAATCCTGCTTTAATTCTTCATTTTGATCTCTATCCTCCGCCAATAGTTCACCCACGTTACACATTCAGTTGTTTTATCTCTCGAAAATGAAATGATTTTGCTCAGCAAACTTGTTGCATATTTTGATTTAAAGCTTTCGTGACTGCAGGGATTCATATTCTTGGTTCTTTCGGTAAAGTCACGTAGAAGGGAAACAATATTTTTTATTATTTTATTGTTGCATATTGTTTCTCGTATTTCTTTTGTGCCAAAAATTACACCCTTCTTTGTAACATCGCACTAGATTGGCCGACAAGATGTTCGTTATAATAACCAATTGAAACGAACTACAATTAATTATTGAAGAACTAAATTGTTTAATGTTATGCGAGTACAAATGATGAATTAGTTTAAGTGCTCCCAGTTCTAGGTACCATTTAGAACTATTAGCCTTTTTTTACAAAGGATGAAATGAGGACACTTACAACTAATAAACAAAATGTACAGTTATACAAACAACAACGGAAACATTGCAATGTCTGTAATTCCTCTTGCGTACTGCATGTTGTCCAAACTATCAAGGTATTAAAATTGGTTGAAGCGAAAAATATAGCAACACGTTTTCACGTGAAACTTAGAAAATGTCAAATCTGAAAATTCGTACGAATATAATAAATTAATTAGTTGGTTGCTATTACGTTTTACATTTCTGTAACTTGCCAACGGGACTGTATAGATGAGCAACAGTTACAGATCAGTGTTAAATATGAGGCTTTTGGGATATGAACTGGCAGATGCTCTCAGTGCTGCTGTGGGTGCACTGTGTGTTTATGTGGCTATGGGGGTGGTTACAAGACCCATGTGCACATGTGGGTATGTAGAGAGCAGAAGTAATTATGCATAATTCATATGTTATCCTGTATAAATAGACCATGTTAAAGCTTTGTGTGAAGTAATGCTTTTTTTTACAATTTAATTGTGTATATTTTATAAAATATATAGTTATTTTCAAAGTCAAAGTGGTTTCCTGCTCTCTTCAAAATTGGGCAGTATTAATTTCCTATTTGCTCTGAGCCGGTGGTTGAAATTCCACATTCCTTTCGATGGTGGGGTCGAGTCAATCCTGAGGACAACCACAATTGACATCTACACAAAGTGACGTGCTCACTTTATTGATGCTGGAGAGAGAGGTTAAAATAATCTCCACCTCCGGTTTTGAACCAAGTAAATTTCCGATTGCGAGCTGCACACATTGTAGCCATTACACCACCGGCCAGCTAATGTTCCTTAAGCTTTCAAAATAATTATTTTATGATGAGGAATAGAGAATAACAATTCCTGAAAAATATCGAGTCATTAATTATCTTATTTTAAAAAGGTATTGTACAACCTGAAATAAAAAAAATATATAGTTTACAATTCCCCAAACAAGAATGACCAAATTTGGGTGGTGGTGCAATGGTAATTTAACTGCACTACAAACCCAGAGTTCGATTTCTGGCCATGCCTAACTTAATTGACAAGTGATATTTTTACTGCTCCTGTCCCCCACTCCCTTGACCGACACACTAACCAGAATGGTGAGGTATGGTCAAACAACCCCACTGACTGACACGACATATGGCCTTTATTCAGCATCTATATTCGCCGAGATCAGAAATTATTAAACATCAGAACATCAGAAAGGTTACTAATGAGAGGAGGCCATTCGGTAGATCCCACTCATTCGGGCAGGACAATTATCCTCTGTGGTCTAACAGTATGGGACGATGATTTATATGGATAATCCCAATTAATGTATGCAAATAAATTTTCAGAGCTTTCAAATTTCGAGAAACGATGCCAGCATAGAAATGGCTTACTGTTGCAAAAGATGTCACCTGATCTTTAACGTCCACTGAAGCAAATTGTGAACATTTCGTTTTAGGGTTGACATGCACAGTATTCATCAGGGTCCGGCTGGATTCAAACCGTGAACCGATGCAAAAGTGGTCAATGCGCTACAGCTAGGCCATGTCACCAGCCCATTCGCATTATCACGAAGTAAAATTGTATATTTTGGTAAGAAATTTGGAAATATCTATGGTACATGTCTTCAGTAGCACTGGGAAAGCTTTAATCATTTGCAGCAATGACGTAAGCATACAAACATGAACTTTAAAACACGTGGGCTTACACTGGCTGTGGAATGTTTCTACCCATTTGACGCGCATGTTATTTTGTCAAGATGGTTTATGTGTAAAAGATTCCACATTGTTAAAATGTAAACACAAACCATTATCAGTTAATCCTTTGATCTGTGTTAAGTGAGCAATGGTTAGCACACTGCACTTGCAATCTAGATACATGGGTTCGATCCCCCAGAACAGTGCTGCAAGTTATTTTTTTAATCTCCCCACTCCTGTCTACTCAGAAGTGTAAATGGGTACACCACAGTTAATCCACCGGCAGCCCTCGTGTGGTGGAGTTATGTATCGGTACTCCTACCTCTCCCAGGATGTCTGGCGAGTGTGAGAACAAAAGTAGTGCCAAGATACCCCTCTAGTGCTCCAGTCTAGTCGGGGGTACCTTCTGCCAGAAGTGGCGTGAGTAAGAAATCACAGGGCTGCGCTTTTACGCTTTTTACTTTTTTAATTATTTTTATTTTTTATTTAAAGCTTTCGTGACTGCAGGGATTCATATTTTTGGTTCTTTCGGTAAAGTCACGTAGAAGGGAAACAATAAAATAATGAAAATATAAAACAATAAAATTCTCACGACATTTCGACTGCAACACAAGCAATCATCATCAGGTGTGAAAACCACACCTGATGATGGTTTTCACACCTGATGATGATTGCTTGTGTTGCAGTCGAAACGTCGTGAGAATTTTATTGTTTTACATTTTTATTATTTTATTGTTTCCCTTCTACGTGACTTTACCGAAAGAACCAAGAATATATAGTTATTTTTCAAGAATAACATTTAAACGCATTAGCGGCAAACAATCTGTACACATTAGATACTAAACCTCAATCAACAGGTCACCTTCATACCATCTGTTTTTGTATTTTTAATGTGCTTAAACTTTTTTAGATTAGAAAACCAATATACCTAACCTAATTTAATGCAATAACAAAATCCTTCAAACAACATAATAAATGTTTTGTCCGCTATTATAGGTCTCGAGTAGCAAAAAAATAGTACCTAATACTTTGCATGTGTTTCAGCACAATTGCAAATAGATTTTCCGTCTTAAATATCACGTAGCTAATGACCGCTGTACAATCAATACAAGGCATCTTTCAAAGCCAAACATTGACTTTTCCTCTTCTTGATTTCCTCGTGGGAATGTCCGCCGCTACTAATTAATTCGAGCGTCGTGCCGCATTGGAAGTCTCCAAAGCCCTCCAGATTGGCGAGGACTTTGGTTGCAGCCCCTCATAAAGTAGACTTGCAGCAGCGTTGGCTGCCATCCCTCGTCTCGCACTCATTAGTCAAGCCATAGTAGAAGTCGCGCCAAACACTTTGCCAAAAACACGGCCGCTGGCAACCGTATCTTATGTTTTTGAGTAACTGTTTTAAGGCAATAAACAAGTAATGATAAGTAATCATCGTACGTGCACGTGTACCTATAGAGAAGGCCTATTATATTACTATACATCTTGTTGATGTTATTTTTTTTACGTGTATATGAATATGGTATTGTTTTTTTGTGGCAGTCAGAGGTCCTTATGGTGAGCTTTGGCTTGCAGATCGCACTATGCGTGGTTAATATCAAGTGATTGGTTAACGGGTATTCATCCTTAGCCTGCGCC